TCTCTTTCCTCTAGATACCAAAAGAAACAATTTAAAACCTTCCATGTGCCCTGGTGTAAAAATAAAGGCCGTTTTGATTGATTTGAAGATTTTAATTAACGTGAAAATTTTAGAAAATCAAAATTTTGAAAATTTTCAAAATTCTGGTTTTGGAAAAAATGTTGCAAATTCTAAAAATTCTATAACAGCAAAATCGCAAAGTCAACCTGAGATTGGCCCAAAATTAAGTAACTTTTTTTTTCGGTCTTTGAGAATTTCCTAAACTCTGAAGATGTAGGAAAAATTCAGATTTTGTTAACTTCAGTCCGCTTAAACATTGGAAAATCTGACAATCTTGAAACGTATTTTTCGGAAAAAAGAAAATTCTCTTTCCGTTAGATATCAACACAAAAAATTTAAGACCTCCGATGGATTTACTTCCAAATCTGAATTTATGCAAAAAAAATCAAAGCCATTCTGATTTATTCAGAGATTTCAATTCACGTGAAAATTAAAAAAAATCAAAAACTTGAAAATTTACAAAATTCTAGTTTTGGAAAAAAAAATTCAAATTCTAACAATTCTATAACAGTAGGACTATAAAGTCCACCCTGAGATTGGGTCAAAGTTATATAACGTTTTATCTTTTTTCGTTTTTGAGAATATCCGAAACTCTGGAGATGTAAAAAAAATGCAGATTTTCTGAACATTTTGAAACACATTTTTCGGAAAAACGAAAAAAATTCTCTTTTCGCTAGATACCAAAAGAAACAATTTAAAACCTTCCATGTGCCCTGGTGTAAAAATAAAGGCCGTTTTGATTTATTTGAAGATTTCAATTAACGTGAAAATTTTAGAAAATCAAAATTTTGAAAATTTACAAAATTCTGGTTTTGGAAAAAATGTTGCAAATTCTAAAAATTCTATAACAGCAAAACCGCAAGTCAGCCTGAGATTGGCCCAAAATTAAGTAACTTTTTTTTTCGGTCTTTGAGAATTTCCTAAACTCTAAAGATGTAGGAAAAATTCAGATTTTGTTAACTTCAGTCCGCTTAAAACATTGGAAAATCTCAAAATCTTGAAACATATTTTTCGGAAAAACGAAAATTCTCTTTCCGCTAGATATCAACCCAAAAAATTTAAGACCTCCGTTGTATTTACTTCCAAATGTGAATTTATGCAAAAAAATCAAAGCCATTCTGATTTATTCAGAGATTTCAATTAACGTGAAAATTAAAAAAAATCAAAAATTTGAAAATTTACAAAATACTAGTTTTGGAAAAAAAAAATCAAATTCTAAAAATTCTATAACAGTAAGGCTATAAAGTCCATCCTGAAATTGGGTCAAAGTTATATGACTTTTTTTTTTTCGTTTTTGAGAATATCCGAAACTCTGGAGATGTAAGAAAAATGCAGATTTTATTAACTTCAGTCCGCTTAAAACATTGGAAAATCTGAAAATTTTGAAACACATTTTTCGGAAAAACGAAAAAAATTCTCTTTCCCCTAGATGTCAAAAGAAACAATTTAAAACCTTCCATGTACCCTGGTATGAAAATAAAGGCCGTTTTGATATATTTAAAGATTTCAATTAACGTAAAAATTTTAGAAAATCAAAATTTTGAAAATTTACAAAATTCTGCTTTTGGAAAAAATGTTGCAGATTCTAAAAATTCTATAACAGCAAAACCGCAAGTCAGCCTGAGATTGGCCCAAAATCAAGTAACTTTTTTTTCGGTTTTTGAGAATTTGCTAAACACTAAAGATGTAGGAAAAATTCAGATTTTGTTAACTTCAGTCCGCTTAAAACACTGGAAAATCTGAAAATCTTGAAATATATTTTTCGGAAAAACGAAAATTCTCTTTCCGTTAGACATCAACACAAAAAATTTAAGACCTCCGGTGGATTTACTTCCAAATCTGAATTTATGCAAAAAAAATCAAAGCCATTCTGATTTATTCTGATTTCAATTCAAATCTGAAAATTTTGAAACACACTTTTCGGAAAAACGAAAAAAGTTCTCTTTCCGCTAGATACCAAAAGAAACAACTTAAAACCTTCCATGTACCCTGGTATAAAAATAAAGGCCGTTTTGATTTATTGAAGATTTCAATTAACGTGAAAATTTTAGAAAATCAAAATTTTGAAAATTTACAAAATTCTGGTTTTGAAAAAAAAGTTGCAAATTCTAAAAATTCTATAACAGCAAAACCGCAAGTCAGCCGGAGATTGGCCCAAAATCAAGTACCTTTTTTTTCGGTTTTTGAGAATTTCCTAAACTCTAAAGATGTAGGAAAAATTCAGATTTTGTTAACTTCAGCCCCCTTAAAACACTGGAAAATCTGAAAATTTTGAAACACATTTTTCGGAAAAACGGAAAAAATTATCCTTCCGCTACATACCAAAAGAAACAATTTAAAACCTTCCATGTACCCTGGTGTTAAAATAAAGGCCGTTTTGATTTATTTGAAGATTTCAATTAACGTGAAAATTTTAGAAAATCAAAATTTTGGAAATTTACAAAATTCTGGTTTTGGAAAAAATGTTGCAAATTCTAAAAATTCTATAACAGCAAAATCGCAAAGTCAGCCTGAGATTGGCCCAAAATTATGTAACTTTTTTTTTCAGGGTTTGAGAATTTCCGAAACTCTAAAGATGTAGGAAAAATTCAGATTTTGTTAACTTCAGTCCGCTTAAAACACTGGAAAATCTGAAAATCTTGAAACATATTTTTTGGAAAAACGAAAATTCTCTTTCTGCTAGATATCAACACAAAAAATTTAAGACCTCGGATGTATTTACTTCCAAATCTGAATTTATGCAAAAAAAATCAAAGCCATTCTGATTTATTCAAAGATTTCAATTAGTGTGAAAATAAAAAAAACAAAAACTTGAAAATTTACAAATTTCTAGTTTTGGAAAAAAAAATTCAAATTCTAAAAATTCTAGACTATAAAGTCCATCCTGAGATTGGGTCAAAGTTATATAACGTTTTTCTTTTTTCGTTTTTGAGAGTTTCCGAAACTCTGGAGATGTAAGAAAAATGCAGATTTTGTCAACTTCAGCCCCTTAAATCATTGGAAAATCTGAAAATTTTGAAACACATTTTTTGAAAAAACGAAAAAAGTTCTTTCCGCTAGATTCCAAAAGAAAAAATTTAAAACCTTCGATGTACCATGGTATGAAAATAAAGGCCGTTTTGATTTATTTGAAGATTTCAATTAACGTGAAAATTTTAGAAAATCAAAATTTTGAAAATTTACAAAATTTTGGTTTCGAAAAAATGTTGCAAATTCTAAAAATTCTATAACAGGAAAACCGCAAGTCAGCCTGAGATTGGCCCAAAATCAAGTCACTTTTTGTTCGGTTTTTGAGAATTCCCTAAACTCTAAAGATGTAGGAAAAATTCAGATTTTGTTAACTTCAGTCCGCTTAAAACATTGGAAAATCTGAAAATCTTGAAATATATTTTTCGGAAAAACGAAAATTCTTTTGCCGCTAGATATCATAACAAAAAATTTAAGACCTCCGATGTATTTACTTCCAAATCTGAATTTATGCAAAAAAATCAAAGCCATTTCTGGTTTATTCAAAGATTTCAGTTAGTGTGAAAATTAAAAAAAAACAAAAACTTGAAAAATTACAAAATTCTAGTTTTGGAAAAAAAAATTCAAATTCTAATAAAAATTCTATAACAGCAAGATTGCAAACTCCATCCTGAGATTGGGCCAAAGTTATATAACGTTTTTTCTTTTTTTGTTTTTGAGAATTTCTGAAACTCTGGACATGTAAAAAAAATACAGATTTTGTTAACTTCAGCGCCCTTAAAACTTTGGAAAATCTGAAAATTTTGAAACACATTTTTCGGAAAAACGAAAAAAATTCTCTTTCCGCTAGATACAAAAAGTAACAATTTAAAACCTTTCATGTACCCTGGTGTAAAAATAAAGGCCGTTTTGATTTATTTGAAGATTTCAATTAACGTGAAAATTTTAGAAAATCAAAATTTTGAAAATTTGCAAAATTCTGGTTTTGGAAAAAATGTTGCAAATTCTAAAAATTCTATACAGCAAAATCACAAAGTCAGCCTGAGATTGGCCCAAAATTAAGTAACTTTTTTTCGGTTTTTGAGAATTTCTTAAACTCCAAAGATGTAGGAAAAATTCAGATTTTGTTAACTTCAGTCCGCTTAAAACATTGGAAAATCTGAAAATCTTGAAACATATTTTGTGGAAAAACGAAAATTCTCTTTCCGTTCGATATCAACGCAAAAAATTTAGGACCTCGCATGTATTTACTTCCAAATCTGAATTTATGCAAAAAAAATCAAAGCCATTCTGATCTATTCAGAGATTTCAATTAACGTGAAAATTAAAAAAAAAATCAAAAATTTGAAAATTTACAAAATGCTAGTTTTGGAAAAAAAAATTCAAATTCTAAAAATTCTATAACAGTAGGACTATAAAGTCAAAGTCCACCCTGAGATTGGGTCAAACTTATATAACGTTTCTTCTTTTTTCGTTTTTGAGAATTTCCGAAACTCTGGAGATGTAAAAAAAGGCAGATTTTGTCAATTTCAGCCCCCTTAAAACATTGGAAAACCTGAAAATTTTGAAACACATTTTTTGTAAAAACGAAAAAGTTCTTTTTCTGCTAGATACCAAAAGAAAAAAATTTAAAACCTTCGACGTACCATTTATTTAAAGATTTCAATTAACGTGAAAATCTAAAAAAGTAAAAATTTTGAAAATTTACAAAAGACTAGAAATTCGCAAACCCAAATTAAACCCCGACCAGTCTTCCGTTAAAAAAACATTTATTTCTCTTTATCTGTCACAAACAAAATGCACTAAAAATTCCTCTGATGAATCAACTCTTTATTGCAACGTCAAAATAACAACAAAAACGCCGCTTTTTCCCATTACTGCAACCATTCAAATAAATGTACAACTTTATCACACCCATTACCATAATGTCACAGGGTTAATTTCATATTTTCGCAAAACCCCGGTATAAAAAGACCCACCTCGATGCATCCTAGTAGTACCTACGAAAATGCACCAAATAGTACAACTCCTCCTCATAGTCGGCCTCTTCCACTACGGAAGTAAGTACCTTTTTGACTCCCACCCACGTCACAGCCTCTTCTTCCAGGATCCGCAGACCTCCTCGGCGACGACGTCCGCGAAGACCTCTTCAACATCTACACCGGTGCCGCCCTAGTGGAACGCGGAGTGACCCGCGAACCCGTCAAACCAGAAAACATCAACCTCTACTTGTACACCAAAGACAACCAAGCCAAAGACAGCTACATCCCCATCGATCTCAACAACCCAGCCCCTTTGAACAACCCCAAGGCCAAAATCGTCTTCATCATCCACGGCTGGCTCGAACACAAAGACGTGTCGTGGTACGAGGACTTGAAGAACGCGTTCTTGAAGAGGGATAGCTCGTACTACGTGGTACAAGTGGACTGGAATCAGTACTCGCACTTGGGGTATTTGTTGTCGTCGTACACCACCGTAGATATCGGTCAGTACTAAAATAGTACCGCTCGAAATTAAAATTGTTTTGGTTGTAGGCAGGATCGTGGGTGAGCTCATCGTCCACCTGAACAAGAACTACAACATCCCGCTTAAGAACTTCTTGGTGGTTGGACACTCCCTCGGTGGGCAGATTTCGGGCTTCGTGGCCAAGAAGGTGCAAGAACTCACCGGCCAGAAGCTGCCAAGACTGGTGGCTTTGGACCCAGCGGGACCTTTCTTCACCAATCGACCGGAAGAAGAGCGCTTGAATAAGAACGACGCTGACGTGGTGCAAGTTATTCATACTAATGGTGGTACTTTCGGTTTCTTCGATTCGTGTGGTACTATTGATTTTTATCCTAATGGTGGGAGTTTCCAGCCGGGGTGTTTGAGGGCGGCGATCCCGGATCCGGACGGTTTCCACGATATTATAAGTTGGTACTTTTCGTAGTACGAGTTGAGGGTTATGATTTTTTTTGTAGTTGCTTGTGATCATCAAAGAAGCTGGAAGTACTATGTTGAAGCGGTGGCTAATCCGGACCGTTTTAAGGCCAGGAAGTGCGGTAGTTGGGCTAAATATGCTACGAAGTATATGTGTGACGATGAATATGCGAATATGGGGGATTTGGAGACGAAGCAGATCGGAGATTTCTACTTGGATACCAACAGCAGCCCTCCGTATGGTGTAGAAAAGGAAGGTTTTTCGAAGCTGATAAATAAGTTTTGAGTTTAACTGCTTATGTCACACATTACACATTGATGGAAATACCACGCTTTATAATAAATAAATAGGGTTATGGGTGATTTTGTGTTTTTTTTAAACATTAGTTAAATAATTGATCGAAAAAAATCAGGATGCCTGGGGTAAAAAATCAAAACGGATTCATAAACCACAATTACAACTATTTTATAAAATTGTGAAGTAACGTCATAAAACTGTTGGTAGGACAGACCAGACGAATTTTGGTTACCGTTTACCATCGGCATGGTATTTCTAAGACTTATAAAATTTGGCAACAATCAATCTAGTGGTTTCAGAGATTTTCTGCCTAATAAATACAGACAGTCGAGAAAACATGAAAGTAACCGTTCGTCGTTTGGACATACAACACAGCTTACACTTGAATCAGTGAAAAGAGTGTAAAAAACAAAAAATTTGCAAGAAAAAGTCCACTAAAATCACAATAAAACAAGCAATAAGAAAAAGTGAAAAAGGTAAAAAAATAGTGGAAAACAATGAGAAAAAGGCGACAAAAATAAAGAGAAAAAATCGCGATTCAAAAGACGATAAAAGGGCAGTAAAAACTGGAGACAAAAAACAATAAACAAGCGATAAAAATTAGAAAAAAACAACAGAAAAAGGTGTAAAAAAAGAAAAAAATACCAACAAAAAAGCGACAAAACAAAGTCAAAACAAGAAGGACGAAAAGAGTGACATTAAAAAAGCTTAAAAAAGGTGAAAAAAGGCAATAAAAATATGGGACAAAAACACGACAAAAAAGGTGAAAAAAAGACAAAAAGTCTTCCAAATTCCGCTCTCGAAAATGCGAAAAAAAGAACGACAAAAAAAGGAAACAAAGAAGGTTACAAAAAAAAGGCGTAAGAAAGGTGGCGATAAAAAATAGGCAAAAAGCGAAATTAACAAATTATTATCAAAGAACTGCAGCAAAAGAAAGTAAACTGAAAAAAGTGTAAAAGAGAATAAAAATCACCGACAAAAAAGAGACAAATAAACAAAAAAAAAGAAGCCAAGAAAAAAAGGAGCAGAAAAACACGACAAAGAAAGTGAAAAAAAAAACAAAAAAAGAACAAAAAAAAATCTACAAAAACCCACCCATAAAAAAAAACATAAGAAAGAGACAAGAAAAAAGTGAAAAAAAATTAGGGACAAAAGAAACCAAGTCAAAAAATAACGAAAAAAGGCCCCAAAAAACAATAAAATTTCAAAGACAAAAAAAACACAAAAAAGCCCAAAAAAAAAAATGTAAAAAAAAACGACAAATCAATGCAATCAAAAAGGAGGACAAGTAGACGAAAAAAGCGACATAAAAAAATCTAGAAAAGCAGAAAAAAGGCGACAAAAATTAGGACAGAGGCAATAAAGGCAGACAAAAAATTGACAAAAAAAAGGAACACAAAAAGTTTGTAAATGAGAATTAAAAAAAGGGCAAGAAAAATAAAGTCCACCAACAAAAAAAGACGAAAATTTTTTTTAAAAAAGTGATAAAACAAAGTTACGAAAAAATTAATAAAAAATGAGTAAAAAAAAATCCACACAAAAAGGAGAAAAACTACAAAAAATTGCCAAGAAAAAAAGAGGAAAAAAGGCGACAAAAAATACGAAATAAGGCAACAACAAAATGCCACAAAATAAAAAAAAGGTGACAAAAAAGAAACAATAAAAAAGGCGAAAAAGGATAAAAAATTATGAAAAAACAATGAGAAAAAAGGGAAAAAAACAAGAAAAAAAAGGATTGCGATTCAAAAGACGATAAAAGGGAAGTAAAAACTGGAGATAAAAAACAATAAACAAGCGATAAAAATTAGAAAAAAACAACAGAAAAAGGTTTAAAAAAAAAGAAAAAAATACCAACAAAAAAGCGACAAAACAAAGTCAAAACAGGAAGGACGAAAAGAGCGACATTAAAAAATCTTAAGAAAGGTGAAAAAAGGCAATAAAAATATGGAACAAAAACACGACAAAAAAGATGAAAAAAAAGTCTTCCAAATCCCGCTCTTGAAAATACGAAAAAAAAGAACGACAAAAAAAAGGAAACAAAAAAGGTTACAAAAAAAGGCGTAAGAAAGGTGGCGATAAAAAATAGGCAAAAAGCGAAATTAACAAATTATTATCAAAGAACTGCAGCAAAATAAAGTAAACTGAAAAAAGTGTAAGAGAGAATAAAAACTTGAGAGAAAAAAATCACCGACAAAAAAGAGACAAACAAACAAAAAAACGAAGCCAAGAAAAAAGGAGCAGAAAAACACGACAAAGAAAGTGCAAAGAAAAAACAAAAAAGAACAAAAACAATCCACAAAAACCCGTTCATAAAAAAAACATAAGAAAGAGACAAGAAAAAAGTGAAAAAAAATTAGGGACAAAAGAAACCAAGTCAAAAAATAACGAAAAAAGGCCCCAAAAAACAATAAAATTTCAAAGACAAAAAAACACAAAAAAGCCCAAAAAAAAAATGTAAAAAAAAAAAAAAAAACGACAAATCAATGCAATCAAAAAGGAGGACAAGTAGACGAAAAAAGCGACATAAAAAAATCTAGAAAAGCAGAAAAAAGGCGAAAAAATTAGGACAGAGGCAATAAAGGCCGACAAAAAATTGACAAAAAAAAGGAACACAAAAAGTTTGTAAATGAGAATTAAAAAAAGGGCAAGAAAAATAAAATCTACCAACAAAAAAAGACGAACAAATTTTTTAAAAAAGTGATAAAGCAAAGTTACGAAAAAATTAATAAAAAATGAGTAAAAAAAAATCCACACAAAAAGGAGAAAAACTACAAAAAAGTGCCAAGAAAAAAAGAGGAAAAAAGGCGACAAAAAATACGAAATAAAGCAACAACAAAATGCCACAAAATAAAAAAAAAGGTGACAGAAAAGAAGCAATAAAAAGGCGAAAAAGGATAAAAAATAATGAAAAAACAATGAGAAAAAAGCGAAAAAAAAAAGAAAAAAAAGGATTGCGATTCAAAAGACGATAAAAGGGAAGTAAAAACTGGAGATAAAAAACAATAAACAAGCGATAAAAATTAGAAAAAAACAACAGAAAAAGGTGTAAAAAAAAAAGAAAAAATACCAACAAAAAAGCGACAAAACAAAGTCAAAACAGGAAGGACGAAAAGAGCGACATTAAAAAATCTTAAGAAAGTTGAAAAAAGGCAATAAAAATATGGAACAAAAACACGACAAAAAAGATAAAAAAAAGTCTTCCAAATCCCGCTCTCGAAAATACGAAAAAAAAGAACGACAAAAAAAGGAAACAAAAAAGGTTACAAAAAAAGGCGTAAGAAAGGTGGCGATAAAAAATAGGCAAAAAGCGAAATTAACAAATTATTATCAAAGAACTGCAGCAAAAGAAAGTAAACTGAAAAAAGTGTAAAAGAGAATAAAAACTTGAGAGAAAAAAATCACCGACAAAAAAGAGACAAACAAACAAAAAAACGAAGCCAAGAAAAAAGGAGCAGAAAAAGACGACAAAGAAAGCGCAAAGAAAAAACAAAAAAGAACAAAAAGAATCCACAAAAACCCGTTCATAAAACAAAACATAAGAAAGAGACAAGAAAAAAGTGAAAAAAAATTAGGGACAAAAGAAACCAAGTCAAAAAATAACGAAAAAAGGCCCCAAAAAACAATAAAATTTCAAAGACAAAAAAAACACAAAAAAGCCCAAAAAAAAATGTAAAAAAAAAAACGACAAATCAATGCAATCAAAAAGGAGGACAAGTAGACGAAAAAAGCGACATAAAAAAATCTAGAAAAGCAGAAAAAAGGCGACAAAAATTAGGACAGAGGCAATAAAGGCAGACAAAAAATTGACAAAAAAAAAGGAACACAAAATGTTTGTAAATGAGAATTAAAAAAAAGGGCAAGAAAAATAAAGTCCACCAACAAAAAAAGACGAATTTTTTTTAAAAAAGTGATAAAACAAAGTTACGAAAAAATTAATAAAAAATGAGTAAAAAAAAAATCCACACAAAAAGGAAAAAACTACAAAAAAGTGCCAAGAAAAAAAGAGGAAAAAAAGCGACAAAAAATACGAAATAAGGCAACAACAAAATGCCACAAAATAAAAAAAGGTGACAAAAAAGAAGCAATAAAAAGGCGAAAAAGGATAAAAAATAATGAAAAAACAATGAGAAAAAAGCGAAAAAAAAAGAAAAAAAAGGATTGCGATTCAAAAGACGATAAAAGGGAAGTAAAAACTGAAGATAAAAAACAATAAATAAGCGATAAAAATTAGAAAAAAAACAACAGAAAAAGGTGTAAAAAAAAAAGAAAAAAATACCAACAAAAAAGCGACAAAACAAAGTCAAAACAGTAAGGACGAAAAGAGCGACATTAAAAAATCTTAAGAAAGGTGAAAAAAGGCAATAAAAATATGGAACAAAAACACGACAAAAAAGATGAAAAAAAAGTCTTCCAAATGCCGCTCTCGAAAATACGAAAAAAAAGAACGACAAAAAAAGGAAACAAAAAAGTTTACAAAAAAAAGGCGTAAGAAAGGTGGCGATAAAAAAGAGGCAAAAAGCGAAATTAACAAATTATTATCTAAGAACTGCAGCAAAAGAAAGTAAACTGAAAAAAGTGTAAAAGAGAATAAAAACTTGAGAGAAAAAAATCACCGACAAAAAAGAGATAAATAAACAAAAAAAAGAAGTCAAGAAAAAAGGAGCAGAAAAACGCGACAAAGAAAGTGCAAAAAAAAACAAAAAAGAACAAAAAAATCTACAAAAACCCACCCATAAAAAGAAACATAAGAAAGAGACAAGAAAAAAGTGAAAAAAAATTAGGGACAAAAGAAACCAAGTCAAAAAATAACGAAAAAAGGCCCCAAAAAACAATAAAATTTCAAAGACAAAAAAAACACAAAAAAAGCCCAAAAAAAAAATGTAAAAAAAAAACGACAAATCAATGCAATTAAAAAAGGAGGACAAGTAGACGAAAAAAGCGACATAAAAAAATCTAGAAAAGCAGAAAAAAGGCGACCAAAATTAGGAAAGAGACAATAAATGAGAATTTAAAAAAGGCCAAGAAAAATCCACCAACAAAAAAAAGACGATTTTTTTTTTAAAGT